TTTGGAAATACTGCCTTTGCAAATGTCATTCTGGAGTCCCTGGGTGATGAAAGGAGTTCCTGCATGGCACAGATGGTTAAGCACTAGGCTACTAACCGAAAACTTGGTGGTTCAAGTCCACCTAGAGGCTCCTTGGAAAAAAAAACGTGGTGAGCAGCTTCTGAAAGGTCACAGCCATCACAGGTCCTATGGAGCCCAGTTCTGCTCTGACACACAATTTGAATGGACTCAACACAAGCTGGTTTGGTTTGGGTTGTGTGGGTGCAAACAGCTAAGTTCTCAGCTGCTAAATAAAAGTTAGTGATTCTAGTGCACCCAGAGGCACCTTGGAAGAAAGACCTGGTGACCTACTTCCAAAAAATCAGCCACTGAAAACCCAGTGGTGCACACTTCTATTCTGATACCCATGAGGTCATCATGAGCTAGGACCAACTTGACAGCAGCTGGGTATTTTTTCATTTTGTTTTGTTTTGTATATATAATTGGTTAGGTTAACATGAGGTCACACTGGAGTAGGGTGGACCTCATTCACTATGACTGGTGTCCTTATAAAATGGGGAGAAACACAGAGGGAAGACAGCCACATGACGAGGAGGCAGGGGCAGTGACTAGCCAAGGAATGCTAAGAACGGCTGAGCCACAAGAGGCCAGGAGACAGCATGGAAGAAATGTCCCTCAGAACCTCAGAAGGAATCAACATGGCTGTGACCCTGATTTGGCTTCTCAACCTGCAGAACTGTGAGGCAATATGTTTCCATTCTTATAAGCCCCACAGCATGTGGTGTTTTGTTACAGCAGCTCTGGGACACTGATACACTCACCCAACCTCCCATCAGCTTGCTCCATCAGTCCCTCCTGGATGCCCACGGCTCATACCACATTTCAGGGCCCAGCTTATCTTCCCACATCAGAGACATCCCCACCGGGCTGCCCAAGGGTGCACATGACTCAAGCCCGGGTGTGTGAGCAGAGATGTGCACTCAAGATTGGAAAATGAAGCCGTGCATTCTTTAAGTTCCTTTCATTTAATGTATCAAACTAATACACCGAGGCACTTTCTGTACCACAAGGGACCATTTGGTAGAATCTTGCATGGAGTAAGCATTTAATGTTTACTGAATGAATCTATAATAAAGTTGAATCGCTGAACACTTAAGTAAACATAGCCTATTAGAGGGAGGCAGCCTGGTGTCGGGAAGGAGAAATCACGCTTCACTAATCTCCTTGAGTTCTGTGAGCAGATAAATAAGCATATGGATAAGAGGGAGCCACAGAACCCAATTTAATTTGACTTTGAAAAAACCTGTGAGAAAATCCCACCCAAAAAAGGCTGTTATTACAAGATTGAGTCACGAAGGGTTGTTTTCTCATGGATATGGAATTGGCTTTAAGATCATAAACAAAGCTAAAGATAAATGGAAATGTTCCCAGATGGAAAATTATAAACACAGGGGTTTCCTATGATCTAATCTAGGATGGGGAACCCTTGTGGCACAGTGGTTAAGTACTTGACTGCTGACTGAAAGGTTGTCAGTTTGAACCCACCAATGGTAGGAAGATGAGGAATTCCATAAAGATTTACAACCTTGGAAACCCTATAGGGCACTTCTACTCTGTCCTATAGGGTCACTTAGAGTTGGCATTGACTTGACGACCAAAGGAGAACCTAAGATGAGTCTTTCTACATGTGTGTGAACGACTGAGAAAGAGAGGTATGAATTGGTTCTCCAGATTCAGGTAATATCTAGTTCTTCTGGGGAGAATGTCAAGTTGATAGAGATTCAATTTGATTTGAACAAGAATATGTTGTTTACGGAATACTCGATCTGTTTGGGCCATGGAACATAAAAAGGGTGCAAGACAGAGTTCCTAGCTTTAGAAGAGCTAATGATCAAGTTAGGGTGAAGCTATGCCTTCATTTTCATGGTAAATAACAGAAGAGAAAATGCAATCCATGGCCAAAGTGATTGATGTGGATGGTAAGTGCCCCAGGAGGGCAAAGCAGCTGTAGAAGGATGCAGGAGGGCTTCATGGAGGTGGCAGCTTTGAGGACAGCCTTGAAGACTAGCTGGAGCTTGGGTGGGTACGGAAGAGGTGGAGCGCCTTCTTGGTGTGGCAGCTGATGCATATTGAGTGGTAACCTCACCTGACAAGGACTGAGCTGAGGGAGGGCTTCTATGCACCATCTCATTTAATCCTGCTCAGTCTGGGAAGGTTGCCGAATCCCTATCACCCAGAGGAAGAGGAAGAGGCCCACAGAAGTTGATAATCTGCTCAAGCTCCCATTGCTGGGAAAACGCAGGAGGCACGGTTCTGCTGCCTCCAGTGGTAGGTAGCAGTGTCCATCTGAGCAAAGGCCAGGAGCAGTGGGGCCTGTTAGGGAGAGGATGGGAGGCAGGGCCAGCTGGGGTGACAGGCTGTACTGGGGACCAATGATAGTGTTAGATTGAGCCTACATAATGGATCTAAATCACAGAGGCCCTTCAATCTAGTCTGAGAACTTGAACTTTATCCTGAGGGCACTATGTTGAGGGGAAGAAGAAGGAAGCTGGAGTTTGGGGCCCAGGAACTAGAGACCTAGGTCTGGCATTGTAGGGGGAGAAATTAGGACAGACGGGGTTTGGTGGAGACATGGAGGGAAGACTGGAGTGTGTCTGCCCAGGACACCAAGCCCAGGGTCGCCCTGCCCCAGGACAGGTCTCAGAGTCTCATGCTTGGTGTCCTCAGGGGCTAGGCTTGCTCAGGAACTGCAGCAGGCTCTCAGAAGTGCCTTCCCTGCCTGTGTGGCTGTGATGTGTCCTTGTCCTTCCACCCACTGGATCCTTTCCCCACTAATCCCCACTCCTTGCAGAATCTGACCAAGGAAGAGTCTACAACCCCTTCCATCAGACCCAGTCTTCAAGACCTCAACCGTCTACACTGATAGCTCCCATCAGATCTAGTCTCTAAAGCCCCAGCAATCTACAGCGACAGTGGCATCAGACCCAGTCTCTAAGGCCTCAACACTCTACAGTGACAGCACCCATCGGACCCCAGTGCCACAAAACTCTGTCAGGGGACTTTGACCAGGGGACTCACAACACAGTGTTTGGGGCAGATCATCCCGAGGTACCAGAGGAGCCTCCTCTATTCCCACTGACCCTCTGCAGCCCTTCAGCTGTTCTTGGGTGATGGCCTTTATGGCCATCTGGTGTCTGGGATCAGGCATGAGCCTCTGGGGCTGTAAGATGCTTGGGGCGAGTAATCAGTTACCTGATTTTCATTGTCCTTGCGCACAGTTAAGTCAGTTCCAGCTCATAATGACAGGATAGACCTGCCCCATTGGGATTTTCTAGGCTGTAATCTCTGCAGAATCAGATCACCAAGTCTTCTCCTGAGGAGGTGCTCTGTGGGTTCAAACTTTTGATTTGCAGCCAAGTGCTTAACCAAGGCTCTTAATTATGTGATGAGACCTTGGCAATGCAGAAACATCTCTGAGGCAGCTGTATTGATGGTGACAGTGGCAGAGGCCTGGACTTGAGTTGGGAGATGGCAGGTAGCTTTCTGCCTGCCACTGGTTAGTCATGTGACCAGAGGTGGTCACTTAACCTCTCTAAGCCTTAGTTCCCTTTCCTGTTGGACAGAGATGATAATTGTACCAATCTCAGAAAATTTTGTGAATTTGAATGAGGAAAAAACACTCTAGGGGGCTCACCCAGGACTTCACACAGGGGGACTACTGCTAATTTCTTTACCCCACCCCCAGGCATCTCCCATCGAATAACCGTCCACTGCCTTCATCCTGGAGTCCCCGGTGCACAAATGGTTAAGCACTGGACTGCTACCCGAAAGGCTGGTGATTGAAACCCACCCGAGTTGTGTCAGAAGAAAGGCCTGGTAATTTACTTCTGAAAGATCACAGCCTTGACATCCCTATAGAGGGGTTCTACTGTGAAACATGGAGTCGCCATGAGTCAGAATTGACTCAACAGCAACTGGCTTGGTTTGGTCCCCATCCTGGATGATTCCCGCTGAAGTCACGCTCACTGTACTGAGATGTGCTGCTCTCTGACTTGTCTGCCCCTCACTAGACTGTGAGCTCTTTGCAGGAAAGATGTGCCTTCTCCCTCTTTACAATCAACACCTAGGAAGTACGCGGCATATGGCAGGTGCCTAAGAGTTTGCCAAACCGTCAACAAAAGAATGACTACGTCACTGACTATCCTTGTAGTAAAGGAAAATGAGTTTCGTTTGACAAAAATCAAATTGTTGGCACATAGAGATTATCATAGTTTTTCCTGAATTCTCCTAAGCATCTGTTTATTAATTCACTTCAGATGTTTTCCAAAAATCAACAGGAAAGTTATTGGCTTTCTCTTGCTAGAATTCCTCTCTCTCTCTTTCCAGAAAATATGAACAACACCAACGTCTGCTATTCCCTGTCATTCTTCTCATTCTTTGGGGCTCTTCGTCAAAGTTGAAGAGTGGGGGATGCACTTTCCAGAAAAGATGGGGCATGTGTATCCTTTTTGTGGGTTAGAAACATAAACTAATAAGAAGAGGCCCTTGTATGCTCCTCATTCTACTTGGGGACAGAATTCCTCCCTAATGTCTGTCTTCCCTTTCCCACCTTCCTACTTCCACGCTCTCAGGAAAAGATCAAAGATAAAAGCACAAGAGGCTCAAAATGTTGCCTTCCTTCCAATTTTCATGAACCTTGCTCTGTCTTCTGTCACTTGGCCTGTGCCCTCCGATTCCTCTGGCTTTGAACACGGTTTAGAAAACACTCCTGGCTTCAGCATTTTTATCAGCCCAACTTTCTTTAGCTTTCGCTTTCTTGAAACGTTTCTTAAATGTAAATGCCATTCTTTTGTACCAACTCTGTGCGTTGCATCTCTTCCGAACACCTGAGTTCACCGGGGAGCACAGGTTTGATGGAGCAGATCTTAACTCGCTAAGAAGCCTAGTTGCCTCCCGAATTCCCCGCTCATCCATCCACATGCAGAAAGAAAGTCACGTACCATTCTGTTGCTAAAGTTACTGAAGTTCTCAACCAACACCTGCTTGATCATGTCTGGTTCAGAAATAACAATAAACATCCGACGACCAAGATAGTACCTGGAAAGAATAAAAAAAAGTTTCTTTAAAATGTGCCCTGTTGGTCCAATAGAGCCTGGTGGAACCACTGAGACTATGGCCCCTAGCTGCCCTTCAGGTCTGGAATTGAACCCACACCTGTGGTTTCCAGCCAAACAAAGACAGGCATGTGAGTTAAACATTTACCTCAAGTACACACACGCCCTGGAGAGAACAATCATGGAAGAAGGAAGGGCTGCTTATGCACAGGGAGACAGCTCAGGGGGCAGGAGAGTATGGAGGGATGGTCACTTGGAAGAGGTAACTATGGGGAGGAAGTGGGAGGGGAGCTGTTGCATTGTGGTAAACTGTGGTCAATGACATGAGACAAAGTATATGTGAACTGCTGTATGGAAAGTGAATTTGCTCTGTAAATCTTCACCCAAATCACAATAAATAAATTAAAATAAATAAATAAATAAATAAAATGTGCCCTGTTTATCCACCCATTCCTCCTTTCCAGAAAGAACCCACAATGGCTTGGGATGAAGGATGAAGGGTAACAGAGAGTGAAGACATGAAGATTAGGAAATATACATGCTAATCCTGGGAAGTGGATGGCTGTAATGGTTAAATTCCATTCTACAGATATTTATGGAAACCCACCTTGAACCAGCTCCTAAAGACTGATAAATAAGACACAGTCCTACAGAACTTCAAATGCCTAAAAACAAACCAACCATCCCAACTTACTGGACTGGTTAAGACTGGAGGGGTCCCCGAGACTACTGCCCTGAGATACTCTTTACATCTTGAACAGAAACTAGTCACCTTTTAGCTAACTAACAGATTGGTTCACTAAATAAACAATATAACTTCGGCTCGTTAAGGTTGTGTGTCATCCATGATTCTCAGTGGCTTGGCAGTTATGATGTAGTTTTTCCCCATGATGAGATATGATACGATGTAATCACCTCCGTGATGGGATCTGTTCCGAGCAGTCAGTCAGTTGAAAGGGCGTTTCCTTCAGGGTGTGGCCTGCTTCTAGTATTTGTGGAAAAGTTTTGGGAAAGATCTCTGCCTTTCGGCTCATTTCTGGATCCTGCATTTGGCTTTTCATCACCTCTGTTCCCAGTGGTCTCTGCCATGTTGCCGGCCAATCTTGGGATCGTTGCCTTCTGCAGCTGGCGAGCCAATAATCTGCCGTTTTACCTGCTGATCTTGGGGTTTCCGGCCCCCGAAGCCAGCAGCCTGCTACACTGCCTGCCAGTCTTGAGTTCGTCAGCCCCTGCAGCTGCATGAGTCAGAAGAAACCTCCAGCTTGACATCTGATCCACAGAATTGGGACTTTCCAATCCCTACAACTTGTGAGCCATTTCCTTGAGATAAATTTCTCTCTCTCTCTCTCTCTCTCTCTGTATATAAGTTTCAGTGTTCTGCTTCCTTAGAGAACCCAGCCTAAGACATCACCAATGAATACTATGATACCATAAAAAACCACGTATATACGATCAAATAACCAACAATTACTTTAAAACACAGATGAGACTATAAGGGGATGTGGAAATTAGATTAATGAAAATGGAACAACCAGAATGGAAATATTAAGAATGTTCATATACTGTAAAGAATGTAAGGAATGTCACTGAACCATTTGTGTAGAAATTGTTGAATGGGAACCTAAACTGTAGTGTAAGCCTACAATGAAATCACAATTAAAAAAAATACTGAAAAACTAAATGAAACACAATCTCTGCCACAAAGAAGCTCACAGCTCATAGAAAAGACAGACCTATAAATGTAAACGTAATGATAAAGGGTTCCTAAGATACAGGAAAGGAGCCCTAGTGGCACAAAAGTTAAGCACGTGGCTGCTAACTGAAAGGTCAGTGGTTTGAACCCACCAGCTGCTCCACAGGAGAACGATGGGGTAGTCTGCTTCTATAAAGACTTATAGCCTTGGAAACTGTGGGGCAGTTCTACTCTGTCTTATAGAGTTACTGTCAGTCAGAATCGACTCGGCAGACAATGATTTTTTTTCATTTTTTAAGATCCAGGAGCTCTGGTGGCACAATGGTTAAGTGCTTAGCTGCTAACCAAAAAGTCAGTGGTTCGAACCCACCAGCAGCTCCATGGGAGAAAAGACCTGACCACGTGCTCCTGTAAAGAGTGTTGTTGCTGGTCTCATTGAGTCAGTTCTGACTCAGAATGACCCTACGTACAGAACAAACATTGCCCATCATCGCTATGCCTGAGCCCTTCGTCTCAGTCACGTGTCAGTCCATCTTGTCAAGGGGCTGCCTCTTCTTCCGTGACCCTCTACTTTACCAAGCATAATGTCTTTCTCCAGGGACTGGTCCCTCCTAATACCGTGCCCAAAGGACATGAGATAAATTCTCGCCATCCTTCTAAGGATGTACTTCCTTCAAGACATATTTGTTCGTTCTTCTGGCAGTCCATGGCATATTCAACATTCTTCACCAGTGCCATAATTCAAAGGCATCAATTCTTCGGTCTCCCTTATTCATTGCCCACCTTTTACATGCTGAAGGAAGAAGTCCAAGCTTCACTGAAGGCACTGGGGAGAAACAAGTCTAGTCCTTAGTTCATACGTTTAGTTTATAGCACTTGGCTGCTAACTGAAAAGTTGGAGGGGTTGCCACAACTCAGAATTGATCAAGTAGTAAGACAAAGAAGGAAATAGATTAAACCTGCTGGGGGTTTAGGGAAGGGGTTGAACATCTTGTTTTCATACCTATAGATGGAAGGAGCTCAACAGATACTTAGGACACTAATGAAGATGCAGATGAGAGGCTCAGCCAGTCACTTGGTGGCAGTGAATTCTAACTGGAGGCTGTACTGAAAGGCATGTTTTGTTCTATTTATTGAAGCACCGGAGGTGGAATGCAATCACGACCCAGCTCCAGGCTTCACAGATCTCACGGTCTGGTGGGAATGACAGACACTCAACCTACAGGGTAACGGTCTGGCAGGAACAGGTGACTTTGGAGGCACACCCAATTCAGTGCTCGAAGAAGAGAAAAGGAAGGTTTCTCAGAAGTGGTCTTTACCAACTGCATCGTGAAAGATGAGCAAGAGTTACTCCAGGAAGGGGGATAGCAAAGCGAGGTGAGCATAAGCCAGTCAGAGAAACCCACGTGCACAACTGCTCAGGGACCTGTCAGACTGGGGAAGTCTGCGAGCGTGACTCCCAAATGTGTACAGCAAGCCAGAGTGATGACAGGCACTTCCACTGCTCAATGTCATGTTTTTAGTGTATGAAGTTATCCGTTCATGGATGCAATTTGATCACTACTGTATCCAGCTCAGAGCAGTAAGGAACAGATGTTAAAGGGTAAAACCACAACATATCAAAGCAGCCAAGTTTACTCCAGTATCCTTAGTTACCCAGAGCTTTTCATATGCCAAGAATGGCTTTAATTTTTAACTTCTCTCACTGACTAGGAAAAAAAAAAAGATTTATTTTTTTTCTGGCACCTATTAAATACTCAAATGATTACATTTTCCAAAAAATGTTGGGAAAATCTTTGGGTCATAGGAATTCAACAGATACAGTACAGAGAAAGGAAGGATAATAACTTTTTTTTTTTTTTTTTTTACTGGTTTTAAACAGTACCAAAATAACCCAGTAAGACACTATAAACCAGTGCCTTTTAAAATTGATGAGGAGTGTAATGGAATCTTGTGAGAATTTAGTGGAAGTTATGGACATTCTCCTAGGAAAAATGAATATTCACAACATTCAGTATACAATTTTGAGGGATTCTGGGGTCCCTGAAGAACTCTCTAGAACAATGCTTCTCAAACTTACAACGTGCTTAGAAGTCATTTGGGTTTAAATAGATAATGACTGAAAATTCTCCAATTTGGCAAAAGACATAGACTTTCAGATTCAAGGAGCTGAATGAATCTCAAATAGGGTAAACCCAAAGATATCCATACCAGGACACATTGTAGTTAAGCTTCTGAAAACTGAAGGGAAAGGAAAAATCTTGACAGCAGCCATAGAGAAATTACCTATTACCGCCACATAGTATTGGAGAGTCTAGCCTGTGCAATAAAGTAAGAAAAGAAATGAACAAGTATACAGATTAGAAAGGAACAAAGTTGTCCCTGTTTGTGGATGACATGTGATTGTCTACATAAAAAATCCCAAGAAATAATGATTTTAAAAAATCCTACAAATAATAAATGAGTTCAGCAAGGTCAAGGCCAACACAAAAAAATATCAACAATGTTTCTGTATACTAACAATGAACATGTGGAAGCCAATTTTAAGATACAGTGCCGTTTACAATTGCTTCAAACAGAGCTTCAGACTGGTTTGAACCAGCTCAGTCATGGCTGACACAGTGAAATCAAAACAGATCTCAATTTGTAAAATATGGATGTACCAGAACAATAACTGGGATGGGAAAAATTACAGGTCAAAACCCTGGAATGGAAGACTTAGAAGAGGGGTAGTCAGCCTTTTCAGGACCCTGATGCAGGAGATTGAATTATTGCCAAGACTGGAAAGTGACACACATTCAAAGCACTACAGTTGGCTGCCATCTTTGAGTCAGGCACCGTGTTTCCAACACTTCTGGTCAAGACATTTGGTTGCTATGCAACACATATGCTGCCCTCCTTTTCTAAGGGGGAGCAGAGCACCAGCCTACAGTTGTATCATTCTGGTTGTCATTCCGGTATACCCACATTTTACAAATTCTGGTCCATTCTAGTTTCACTTTGTCAGCCGTGACTGAACCAGGAAGAACTGATTTGAAGTCACGCTTCAAAGAAAATGAAATACTTAACATATAAGCCTAACAAAACATGTATAGGATCTGTATGGTAAAAACTGCAAAACACTGATGAAAGACGTGAGAGAAGGTCTAAATAAATGATGAGACATACCATATTTGTGGATTTGGCAACTGCACCTAGTAAAGATTTCATTTCTCCTGAAATTGACCTACAGATTTCGTATAATTTCTATAAAAATCCCAGCAATGTTTTTATAGACATAGACAAGCTTA